GGAGTTGAAAGTCCGTGTTGCCCAGCGACAGCTCCAAAACATCACTGCTCTAGAGGAGATCTGCATGGAGGAATGGGACCAAAATACCAGCAACAGTGTGTAGAAAACCTTGTGAAGACTTACAGAAAACGTTTGACCTCTGTCATTGCCAACAAAGGGTATATAACAAAGTATTGAGATTAACTTTTGTTATTGACCAAATACTTATTTTCCACCATAATTTGCAACTAAACTCTTTAAAAATCAGACAATGTGATTTTCTGGATTGTTTTTTCTCAATTTGTCTCTCATAGTTGAGGTATACCTAGGATGAAAATTACAGGCCTCTCATCTTTTTAAGTGGGTGAACTTGCACAATTGGTGGCTGACTAAATACTTTTTTGCCCCACTGTATGTGACTTGGGATCCCTCCTAGTATCGTACTTATCAGACAAAAAAAGGATTCTGGCTGTGTTTAAATACCTAGAAGTATCTAAAAAGCAGCCATGATAACAGCTGTTTGAACTCTCTAAATGCTATGGAAAGCTCTTTCAATGCTGATCTTGTTTACCATAGTGTACACTGGAACATCCTCTCCCAAACAAAAGGAGATAATGCCATACCTCAATTCCTTGGTTCAGCAACATTTAAAGTGGTGCACCATTTGGCCATCAATCATAACCGTTTGCTTTGGATTTATTAAAAACATAGGTGGCATTCTGTCATTACAGGAACCCTCACTTGAATTGTAAATCATAATGTAGTTTGCCACTGTTCTAATTTTATATGTGTTCATATCTCACATCTCACGCAGCGATTTCTCTCCTCTGCTGCAAACCTTTTCCCAGATTCTTCTCAAGGAACCCTCAAAGTGTATAGTTTCCTGTTTCATATATATTGATGCCCCAAAAAATGATATAGGTCTCCTGACTCCCAAAGCCACATTGGTGTGAATACAATTCAGCTAATAAATCCGAATAGGCCCGTCTCTACACAGACTCATTGCATTTATATTATTCGGTTTCCTCTCTGAGGTCCCAGAGCGCTGGATAATATGAGGCTGTGCTGATACAGAGGCATCTCCCAAGCTTTACCTAGGCTTTCCTGCTCACGTTCCCAGATTTTTTTGTGTTTTTTTTTCCTTTGTGTCTGTGCAACAGAGCTCTCAGGCCAAAAAAGGACTCTTCAGACATTATTTATCTAGGTTAGTATTCCCCTCAACCAATCAGAGGATGAATGAAAACAATCCCTCTGTCTTTGATCCACCGTCTCAGAATGTATTGTTGTTTAGTTTGTGGTGAGAAAAAAAAGCATCTTACTTTTCTTCTTTCATTTATTTTCATAAGCAGAGCTGTGGCTGGGTTTTATTCATGTGAAGTCACACCACCTTGTGGTTGACTGCAGAACTTGAAACACATACCACTCTTTAATCTGGTTCAGTTCACATGATTCAGATCATTTGACACTCTCACATTGATCAGAAGAAGACAACAACATTGATGCCGGATGAATCACTAAAGTGATATATCGTGGAGTAAATGTTCCTGTTTCTCAAAATGTTTTGTCTCTGTTTATACATTTGTATAATATACAATAATCTTTAATTAAATATCTTTGAGTTTTTACTGTTATTTTGACAGACAAACAATTAAAGAAAATGTAAGATCTCAACAATTTCCAAATGACGATGAGACAAAACAGTTATCTAGATCTCATTGGTAATGAGAATGATTCTCTTTTTTTTGTTGCTTTATCTCGAATTTGCTACATTTTTAAAAGTGTGTGTATGTGCTCTTTATTAGGCATGTCATCAGACTGGTACCCAAACCTGGACTGGCTGAAAGAGAGCTGCCGCATCGCTACCAGCTACAACTGGGCTGACGTAGACCTCTCCCCATTTCAAGGTAGCACACACACACACACACACACACACACACACACACACACACACACACACACACACACACAA